AGTCTTATACAACAAATTCTAAACCTTGAACTGAACTCGAAAACAGATTGGAAGCCAGTGCATTTCAGTGAGGATGGGGGTCATGGCAACGTCTGGAATTGGTAAGAAATCTAGCTGCTGCATTTGGCACCTTCTGGAGATGCTCAAGGAAGGATGCCATGACACAGATGAGCACTGAGTTGGCATAGTTCAATCTTGATGTAATAAAAGCTTGTATGACAGATTCCAAATGAGGTCTCAAGAATTGGCTTTAACAGAGGTAAGCGGCAAAGCTGAAAGAAATATGACTTCACTGTGATGTTGGTTTAATGCCAGATAAATCTGATAGCTGTCAGCGTAAAGATGGTAATTCATTCCGTGTTTATTCAATATCTTTCCTAGTGGAGGCATATAGACTGAGAAGAGGACTGGCCCCTAGGATTTAACCTTGGAGACCTTAATGACAAGTGGGGTACCCAAGGCTCAATTCTTGGACTACTGCTGTTTAATCTCAAACATGCTCACCCTGGGTCAGGTCATACACAAAAATACTATTACCTACCATAGTTATGCAGATGACATCCAGATCTACCCATATCTATCACCTAGTGACTGTGGTCCCCTAGACTCACTCTGTCAGCGTTTAGAACATGTTAATGGCTGTATGCAGTCAAACATCCTTCAGTTAAACAAAAAACAAGACTTAAGTTATTGTCTCTGGAAATAAGAAAGATAATATGGAAGTCAATGGTAAACTTGGCTCCAGAGGAAATAAAGAAAGACTCAGGTTAGAAGTCTTGGTGTCAAAACTTATTTAGACCTGAGCTTCAGTGGTCAAATTAAGGCTATAACTAGATCAGCATTTTATCATCTTCATCACATAGCAAGTCACAGAGGTCTCATGTCCAGACAAGACCTAGAGAAATTCATCTCCAGCAGGCTGGACTATTGCAATGATCTTTTGTCTGGTTTCCCCACCAAAATAAAGCTGTGAAGTGACTGAAGCTTATTCAGAATGTTGTTGCTAGAGTCTTAACAAGGACCAAGGAAGCTGAGCACATCACTCCTGTTCTTAAATCTCTACGCTGACTACCAGTAAACTACAGGATCAATTTCAAAGTGTGTCTGCTAGCCTTTAAATTACTCAGTGGCATGGGGCTAAAATCTCCTTCCTGTATTACACCCAGCAGGACTATGAGATCCTTAGGAAACAGTCAGCTGGTAAAATCCTGGGTCAGAACCAAACAGGGTGAAGCTGCTTTTAGCTACTATGCTGCTCACAGATGGAATCAGCTGCCATATGACCTCAAATATGCCCCAATTCTGGTAACTTTTAAGTCAAAATTAAAAACGTTCTTGTATTCATCTGCTTTTGAATGAATGTTTCTTATGCTGCACCTTCTGCAATGTAACTGCTCACCCTTTAACTTTGCCCATAATCTGATTCTTAAATCTGAAATTAGCTTGTGTATTTAATTTGATCTAAATGTATTTGTCAATTTTTAATTATGCTGTCACATTAGTTTTAATGTCCATGTTATTATTGCTACTGGAAAGCACGTTGAATTGCCTCTGTGTATAAAATATGCTATATAAATATTAGCGGGGCTGCATGGTGGTGCAGTGGTTAGCACTGTTGCCTCGCAGCACGAAGGTTGCAGGTTCGAAACTCGGCTCGGCTGTGGCCTTTCTGAGTGGAGTTGTGTGTTCTCCCCATGCATGCGTGGGTTTCCTCCGGGTACTCCGGTTTCCCCCACAGATCACAACATGCCCTACAGGTTATAAATTGTAAGTCGCTTTGGATAAAAGCATCTGCCAAATGAATAAACATAATAAACATAAATAAAGCTGCCTTGCCTTACTTTGGGACACTTCCCAGGGGATTGGCACAGGGGGGCGAGGAACAGTCCTCGATGTGGACAGTAAACTGTCAATCAGGTTTGACCAGAACCAGTCAAGTAGGGCCCCTGTCACTCCCACCCATGATGCAAGCCTACTAAAGCCTAATTTATGCCGTAAGCTCGGCGAGGGAGAGACGCACACGCGTTGACAGAGACGTTTTGCCCTTGAACGTCTCTGTCAACTGGGGAGTGTTGCAAAGCAATTCCCCACCAGGACAACAGAGGGAGTAGCAGCAGGACTTGGGAACCAGCATTGTTTGCCACCAAAATATCGTTAAGCACAGGAATGTGGGGAGATTCTGTGCTACGGTATGGCCTGAAACTAGACTGAAAAGGCAATGACCCACCAGGTGAAGTGACAGTGGAGTATGAAGAATTTTCTCAATCACCTTCAATAAAAATAAGTATGAGATCAGACGGTAGTTAGCATGATTAGTGTGACCCAAATCTGAGTTTTTTCAAAAGCGGCTGGACAACCACATTTTTTAATGCCACAGGAAATACCCCTAAGGATAAACTATGGTTGACAATGTTTAGGAAGAAAGGGGCCTTTGTTAATTATAGTAATGAGAATATCAGTGAAACAGTTATTTTAGACATTTATTTTGCTCTTTAAGTAATTTGCTTTATTGCTACAAAACTCTTAAGCATCTTTCAGGGTTCCTACCTTTCCCAAAATCAAACTAAAACACGTTTCAAGCTCTTTTAAGGCAAGTTTAGTCAGCAGCATAAACTTCAAAGACATACTTTATATTAGTGACATGGTAGTAAACTCTTTACAGTATCCAGCAAGTTTTTAGAGTTTCAACCATGCTAACATTAATATTCTTTGTCGTCGTCTTCCTCCGCTGATCCGGGTCCGGGTCACGGGGGCGGAATCCCATCTAGGGAGCTCCAGACCGTCCTCTCCCCGGCCTTCTCCACCAGCTCCTCCGGCAGGACCCCAAGGCGTTCCCAGACCAGAATGGAGATGTAACCTCTCCAACGTGTCCTGGGTCGACCCGGGGGCCTCCTGCCGGCAGGACATGCCCGAAACACCTCCCCAGGGAGGCGGCCAGGAGGCATCCTGACCAGATGCCCAAACCACCTCAACCGACTCCTTTCGATCCGGAGGAGCAGCGGTTCTATTCCGAGTCCCTCCCGAATGTCCGAGCTCCTCACCCTATCTCTAAGGCTGAGCCCGGCCACCCTACAGAGGAAACTCAATTCGGCCGCTTGTATCCGCAATCTCGTTCTTTTGGTCATTACCCAAAGCTCATGACCATAGTTGAGGATTGGGACGTAGATCGACCAGTAAATCGAGAGCCTGGCTTTCTGGTTCAGCTCCCTCTTCACCACGACAGATCGGTTCAGTGTCCGCATCACTGCAGAAGCCGAACCAAGCCGCCTGTCGATCTCCCGATCCCTCCTACCCTCACTCGTGAACAAGACCCTGAGATAAACTCCTCCACTTGAGGTAGGACCTCTCCCCCGACCCGGAGTTGGCAAGCCACCCTTTTCCGGTCGAAAATTTATATTCAAATAAATCAATTGTAAAAAATGTTCAATTAAAATTTTTTTTATTTATCTTTTGTACGTTCTTGCTGTGTTTGTCTTTAAATTCCATCTTTGGTTATATTTTAAACACAGATAAGGTTTTTCTTTACCTTGCTGACGTTTTGTTTGTGGCTGCAAACATCTTCAGAGCTGACGCTGATGGTGGCGTCACTTCCTACTCCGTTTATCCGCGGGCAGCAGAGGACACTGTCGCCCTCTGCTGCCCGCTCGTTTTTTAATACATCATTTTTTAATCGATGTTTTGTTTCATGCATCACTTCCGGGTCATACAATCTCCTTCCGGTGTAATTCTCTGGAACTATGACATAGACAACAAGCTCGCTCATTCTGCAGTTCAAACCGATCATACAGTCGACAGAGTGAGGAACACGGCGATGGCAAGAGGATGACCATTGACCACCCCCAGAAAAAGACCAAAAGCTTAGCACTAAGCTAGCATAGTGCTTAACTTGCGTACCGCTAAGCTAACGTTTCACAACAGCACAACCCTATGTCCCAGAAAGCATCCAGGAGCTTCAGGCATGAGCTGCAGATCCAAGACAAGGTGTGTGATCCGAGTTTAAATGAAGCTAAAGTGACTATCAGTTGTGCAAAATGAGACTGAGAATTATTTATCTGCTACCGCTAAAAGCTGAAAACTGTTTCTCCTTGATAATAACATGTTTGCTTCTTTAACAAACTGATAAAAGCTTTAATTGTCACTTATATTTGTTTGGAACATTGCAGCTTCATCATTAACGAGAAAAGAAAAACAGATGTGATCAAATCTTATTTGATGGATACTTACCATTTTAATGTGTTTATTTATTTATTTTGTTATTGAAATAATGACCAATATAAGCTGCTAAATTGAATGTCTTCTCTGTTTGTTTCAAGAATCAGCATCAATGTGAGACTCGGTATATGCTAATCCATGCTGCTCAGCTAAATTTGCTCCAGGGTTAACAGGCAGTAGCTTAAAGAGAGTTGAATTCCATACATTCTGTTAAAGAAACACGCTGGTTATTAACTTGTTATTTTTTTACTGCTCTGTTACAATTCACCAACATTTTCAAAGCAAAGACAAAATAAAAGCTTATCTTATTATTCGATTAATCAGTTGATTGCTGTGGCAGATGACTTGATTAGTAAAAAACTGATAGCTGCAGCCCTAGCTTCAACCGAACAAACATAAGTAAGAAAATTAGTTTCTGTCATTTGAAATTTGGAAAAAGCTAGCCATGTGTAGACATTAGTTATAATAATAACTAGTGCTTTTTAAATTCCCACCAGCTCAGTAACAAAAGAAAATATATGAGTAATGCAGTACCTCCCTAGAGAGATTGGAAATTAATAATATCCTGTTCAGTTCGTGTTCCTTCTTTGTGTTTTCTTAAGCTAAAAAACTGCTCAGTGGTGAGGGATTAGACTTCATGATGCAGGAATGACTGTGATATCCTACAGGTCACAGTCAGAATCTTGCATTTCTCACAAGCTTAAAATAGAAAAGTAAAGCACATATATCCAACCTTACAGCCAGTAATGTATATCAATCCTTTAGAAATGCTGCAACTTTTTACTTACATCTCTAGCTTTGCCATAGAAGGCCTCTTGAGATGCTGCCTCCAAAGACCCGATAAAGAACATTGGGTGAGACTCTCCATACCTTAGACACACAAAAATGAAACCTTTTATTATTTAGGCAAACTGTTGAATACCAGCCTTAAATTATTTTACTTTTTTTTTATATTCAGCACAAGAAAACATTCCCCCACCTTGAGGAAAATTCAGCAGTAAAGTGAAGTAAGGCCTCCGCTTCATTTTCACTATTCTCTGGCACTGAAAAAGGCAGAAACTTTAGTCTTGTGGTAAAATTTTGGACGTACGTTTGTAAAATTTTATGCTTTTTAAATTGCAATTTTTTAAGCAGGCTGTTAATACATACTCATAGGGGACTTCCGACAGCCTGATGAGCTCATTCCGAACATCTCTGAATCATCCACGCCAAATTCTGTGGCATCCTCATACTCGTCCCCCTCGCTGTCACTGATCATATGGACATCTGCACACTGTAAACATGTAGGATTTGTGTTGGTATACACATATTCCCCGCTGGTGAAATAATCCACAGCTCTGACGACTGAGTTTGTGTTTATACACCTATATACCTCTTCTGTGGGTTCCTGGGCATTGGCTGGCGAGGATCTTCGACAAACACTGAGATGGTGACATGGATAGCTGATCCCAGAGAGAGCTAGCGTCATCTAAAAATAGGAATCATGCAGAGAGAGAAGCATTAAGTCATTTCTACTGAGCAAAATTAATCAGGTAGTCCATATCAAAATTAAAAACAAGTTAAACAAAGTTTAACCAGATCAAATAAGACCACATGATTGATTTATGTTGTCTACAACTGGGTATCATGTCAAACATCCCTTTAATGCTGAATATTTGAAGCCCAGAATGAATGATTTTAGGACTTCAGAGAAAAGATTTGCACATCTCTCTAATGAGGAAGGAATATGATGAGGTTTCTGTTCACCTGCAACAGCCACCATCAGCATGGCGGTGTATACCTGCAGTAAAAAGGCTCCTGACTAATGAGCTGGCTGAACGCTGGCGTTCAGCAGGGACTCATTACAGCCAGCGTCTCCTGGTTCAGCATCAAGGGATTTCGACAATACAGAAGAGGTGGTAAAAAGATGTAGGAAGAGAGTCGAGAAACCTTTTTGTCATTTGAAACAATATGTGCACACACTCACACACACGCACGTACGCATGCACACACATGTAAATATGTATAAATATTAGGGTGTTGTTATAGAATTAATTCTTAAATTCAATAACACAGACAAATGTCACTCAAACACATGTTAATACATTTGTTTTTATTATTCTTTGAATGTCTAAAAATCTATAGTGGAAGTTTTCTGTAGAACATCCTGAACCTTATTTTTATTTGTCACTGAGATTGTTGCAACAACAAACATTTGTAGTTAGGTTAAGTGTACTCCTATAACTTATAAGAACATTAGAAACATGAAAAATATCATGTTACTGTACACTTATAATTTGCAATTAATTTACCATTAATCAAAATTTAGAAACTGTGCTGATTGACAGCCATAGCGTGCGTGTGTGTGTCTATCCTACTTAGGACCAGAAATGGCATATTCACTAATCCTCTGAAGACCGATGGTCCGTGTTAGGACCAGAACCCGGTCCTAATACGGTGGACTCCCCATTTTAGGCTCATGGCTGACGTTTAAAAATAAGATGTGAATTTAGCTTTTGTTACAGTTCAGTTTAGGAATACACTGGTTATGGTTAGGGTTAGGCATGAATGTAGTTACTAAAATGAATGGAAGTCAACACTAAGTCCTAATGGATAGAAATACAAGATTGTGTGTGTAAATGTTTTGATCTCAACAATGACTTATCCAAGAAAGAACTGGTAATCTTCTATTTACATTTGCCTGAGTGTAGAGATACTTAAATAACGCAACAATATATTCACAGACTGACTAATTGTTTAGATCCCATCAGAAAGCCCAGATGCAAAGACTTTTCTGGGAGAGTGCACTTCTAAACAACAGAGGAGAAGCTAAGTGTGATAAGAGGAAGAGAAGCTGCTTGTCCCCTGCAGAGGTCCTGTGATCTGCACTATTGTCAGGTGCCAAGACACACAAAGAGCAGCTGGACACGCTTGAATCAAGACACGATTACACGCAACGCCAACTGAGTCTGAAAAGGGCAAAAGAGACTGAACATAGTCGCTATAAAACCAAGTGATTCTCCAGGCTGGCCTGACTTTCTGCAACAGCAGAAAACAGTGCACGCAGCAGACCTTGAAGCCAACATGGCCTACGATGTTTGGCTTTCTGCCTTGCACTTTTTATTTTGTCAGTCACACAGCCTGAACCTCTGAGCATTGGACCAGTGTTTTCCAACCCTGGTCCTCAGTGTCACACCCCGTCCTGTCTCCCCATTCTGTTTAGTCCTGTGTAAGGTTGTCACGGTAACCGTTATAGCGGTAAACCCCGGTAAAAAAGTTGACAATAAAAATAACCGTCCAGTTTTTAAAAAACTAAATGATCTCGGTGGGTTTACCGTGGCCGCGGTTTAGGCGCGCTGACCCTTAACAGCCACCGTCGCTTCTGCTGAAGTTCCCGCGCACACGCACTTTTTAGTTTGCAACCAAAACTTTGAAGCTGAAATAATGGTCGAAGGAGGAGACGGCAGCGCCCAGGACATCCATCAGCCCTCAAAGAAGACTAAATTGGAAGTATGGGCATATTTTGGATTTCTGAAAAATGCTGAGGGACAGTTAATAGAAGACTGCTATCCCGTTTGCAGAACGTGCAGGAAACAAGTGTCTGCAAAAGGCAGCAACACTTCGAATCTAATGGCACTTCTGCGTGACCATCACCCACGTCTCTACAGCCAGTGCAAGGTAAGTTAACATTAGCATTTTAGCTTAAATGCATGACGTGAGGACTTTTGGTTGAGGGAGAATTCAACGAGTCACTATATACTGCAGCCGCAGCGTCCTCTGCCAGCATTTAAACCGTGTCACGGACACCCTGTTGCTGGATGAAGCATCTTATTTGTTGATGATGAAGAGAAATATACAATTAGTTCCTTGTCATTGATTTGTTTACTTATTCAATGCCATTTATACTTGAACATTTGGATTTGATTACACAGTGTAGTAGTTATTTTAGTAATTTGTTTAAAGTGGCTATTTATTTTAAATACATATTTTTTTAAGGTTGACTTGTACAGTGCTCAAGTCAAGTGTGGACTGGAGTTTTAGATTTTCATTTTAATAATGAAAAAAACAAGTGGTGCTTCTTTGATTTGTTTACATATTGTTTATGTTTCAAATGTTTGGATTTGTATCATTTAAACCTGCACTGACTACTGTAACATGTTCCAGAAAAATAAGCTATTTGTTCCTTTACTTGTGAAAAGTTGCACTTTTGCTAAGGCTTTGTGTTATTTTAGGTTTAATAAACACTGTTAAACCTTTTCAAAACTATTTCATTTTGTGTAGAACAGGACTATCAATGCTTTCTGAACATATGCAACACCGTTTAAAAAATACCGCGATAATACTGAAAACCGTGGTAATTTTGGTCACAATAACCGTGAGGTGAAATTTTCATACCATGACAACCCTAGTCGTGTGTCCATGTTAATTGCTCCCACCTGCCTCTCGTCTCCCAATCACCCAAGGTCCCAGCTCCTCCTGTATTTAAACCCTGTTAGTCCATTTTGTCTGGTTGGCTCATTGTTTCATTGTCCTGCGTGTTCCTGATTAAAATCCCTGTTTTAATGTTCCTGTCTGCCTGCCTGCCTCCTTCTTCACCCGCGTGTGGATCCTCACCTCCGTTTCACTCACCAGCACGCCTGACACTCAGAGCACACTTTCCTGCATGTTTTTCATGTTGCCCTTTTAAACACCAGCGTTTCCCTGCTGCCACACACTGACCTAAATGAATGAGTGATTAACAGGCATCTGCAGCACTTGATGTCCTCCTGAGGAGGCAATGGAAATCAAGTGTGCTGCAGCAAAGACATGGAAAACATGCAGGTCAGTGTGCCCTGAGGACCAGGGTTGGGAAACATTGCATTAGACAATGCACCTACATGATTGACTAAATGATCAAGAGTGAAGCTGTCACATTATTCAACCTGAGATTATGCTGACTTCTATGCCTCTGAAATTGCCCCAACATTGGGCCATTGAGATAAAACAACTAGAAGCACACAGCAGATAAATCGCCAAATACTAGCCTGGCAAGCCATCCTATATATGTGAATCTATTGTCTGGCCACAACCCATTGACTGCTCTCAGTCATGGGATGGGATCAACGGTTGTCTTTCAAAAGGTCTTTTGCTATTGGACAACGTGATGTACTCACAGCTACATATGTCATTCAATGGGGAAGTCCACCATACACTGTCAAAGAAAATATGTAAATACATTCTTTTTCTAAATGAAGGACTTCAGTATCTCTGTCTGCTCTTGACTCAAAAAAGCCCATGTCTAAATATTACAAAGTTGATGCCAAAGCCGTGTCAAACGAGCCGTCCCCATCTTGAGCCTGATTTATACTGCTCCGTTATCGGCAGTGCAATGCCATTATGCATCAGCGCAAGGTCTTTCCGACTCTCGCAGAGACGGAGACATGCCCAGCTTTTAAGTATCCATCAAAAGTGATGGTAATCGCAAGCTTGTGATTGGTCAGGACGCCGCTTACTTTAACTTCCTCTACAGCACAGACATTCCCCCTCAAAAAATTAAAAAGAGTCGAAGATATCTAGCAGCAAACAGAGCAGATTGAAGAACGTCTCATGGAAAAAGTCTGGAAATATGAAAGTTTATTCAGTCATGACTGAAGGAGTGAAAAGATAAGCAGCAAGCGTTTTATTTGTGAATGAAAAAGATAAGAAATGTGGGTTTAGAGGTGGTGACCTCATGAAAAGGTGGAGGGGAATGAGGGGCAAGTTTGTCCGTGTTAAAAAGTATCAGAAATACATAAACACAACATAAAGAAAATAGTAAATACGCAATCGTGGACCAGATACTTGAGTGTTATGGCGACAGGATGCCACAGAAAAGCACAATACCCTTTGTTGTCCTGGTGGGAGATTGCTTTGCAACACTCCCCAGGTGACGGAGATAAGTTCTCCGTCACTGCGTCTGCATGACTCCACACTTGAACTGATAGAGAAGTATATATCAGCCTTTAATTTCACTCAGTCGCAGTAACATTCCGCCCACCAACCCGATTACAGTGCTGTGATTGGCCCACCAAACAGATAGAGCGCTGTGATTGGACCGCTATGGACCCTGGTTGGACCTTGATTTCTTCGTATTTGTCCTTGGGGATTTTAACGGCTGTAGACTGAATAAGACTCTCCCTACTTACTATCAGAGGCGATAAAACAAATGATCTCTGCTATGGCAATGTGAAGGATGCATACAGAGCCTATAAGAAACCACCACTCAGCTCTGCAGACCATAATGTTGTCCACCTAGTCCCAGGATATCGCACCAAACTACAGACAGAGGGCATCGTGAACAAGCAGGTCCAAAAGTGGAACAGTGAGGTGCAGATGACTCTTCAGGGTTGTGTACTCAGTGGGAGGAGTTAACCAAGGGTAACACTTTAGAGGACACAGATGTTGTGTGGACACGTTGGTTCCTACTAAGACAATTAAAGTGTTCTCTAATAATAAGCCCTGGATCACTAA